TGTTCATAAGTTCTATAGTGCTATCAAAGGAAATGTCTAGTGTTATATCCGAGCTACTAATGCCACATTCAATATCTCCAGAATCCTGTCTTCAGTCCCGTCTTGGATATCATATAACAATTCCATTTAGTACGAGCAAAGACCTCGAGGACACGTTACTGGATAAGATGCAAGAAAATAGGCATTCCAGGTATAGTATAACAGGTACATTCGAAATTACCCTGTATCCTGTAGACGACACCGGTAGTATGGACGATTCTGGTGTAGTTATGAGAACATGGCCGCCTGTCTCCAGGCAATCCACTTGGTGGGTACCTATCGGGAAACTCATTGCTGGAGATGTAGCTGCTTACAATGGAACTCCGTATACACACGGCTAAATGAATTATCTTTTTAAAATGTTGTCGTAGTGTTGCCAATGCAGCGCCCCTGCAAGCTAGGCAGTGTTGTTGCTTAGCACGTCTACGCAACGATATCGTTGCTTTACCTCACTAGCTGTGAAAGATGGAGTGCTTGTGTTGCTATGAAGATGTTGAACTATATCAGACTGTCTGCTGTGACAGCAAGACTCCGCACTTCTTCTGCTTCAATTGTATGAACAGACACTTTTTGGCACAATTGAAAAATAATAATATTGATATGAGATGTATCTACACAAATGCATGCGATAGTAGTTTCGACGAACGAGATGTGTACAGGTTTATGGATGAGGATACCCTTTCATATTATAATCGTGTCAAAGACCAACGCGATGTAAGAGACGCGATAAAGGATAAAATTGTTACATGCCCGTTCTGTTCTATTGACATGGTAGATGAAAGAACGAGTAATATTACATATTTAGAATGTGTAAATCCTTCTTGCCTTGAGGTCAGTTGTACTAAATGCAAAAAGCAATATCATCCAGGTGTTAAATGTGATAGTACAACTAAGGAACGCACGTTGAAGGAGGAAACTGAAACATATAAGGTTATAAAATCATGTCCGTCTTGCAGCAGAGACATTGAGCGCGAATCAGGGTGTAGCCACATGAAATGTATATGCGGAACAACGTTCTGTTACGTTTGCGGAGAAAACATATCGAAAGATGTATGGGGACACGGCTGCAAAGTCTTCGACCAACCTCGGCGTTCTAGGCTGGTAGTACGCCGTGACGTGCACCCTAATATCGGCGAACGTTCTGTTGGGTACGAAAGGCGTGTACACGCAGAAACAATCGAGGAAAATTATAGACGAAGACAACGAGAAGCTGACGAGTACTACAGGCAGACAGTTCAAGAATCTGATGAACGCTATGCACGCGCACAAGAAGAGACAGAACGATATTATGGAGAGAGAATAGCGCGGATAGACGCTGAAATAGCGCGACTAAATACCAGGGTGGCACTCGGTGAAGTTACTCGATCCACACTATCGCATCTGAGAACCCGTTACAACGCTACAGACCCTGTATCTCTGTATAGCGGCGCTCGGAAACCTCTACACACAGAAACACGCGCTGCCAGTCGCGGTTTAACGTACGACGCTCAGAGACTTCCCGTAGTTCGACACAGGCAAGAAGCGCCTCCACTTAGAAGAACAGGCCGCATGCCCCATGATGATCCGAGAACAGGATATAACAGCCCGTATATCAAAAGGTCTGGCTGGAACTAGCTTGACATGTAATGCTACTAACAGAACTATCTGGAATATTCTGTTGTTGTATACTAGTATGTAGCAGCCTGGTGCTTGCTGCATTTTTAAAATGATATATGATGTGGCGTGCAGCACTGCTGCATCGAGGCACACTAACCACGTTTATGCCTACAATTGAAACATGCCGCACACAGCCATTACGATATCTGCTTGCAGTGATGTTCTAGTAACATCAACAGATAGAAAGAACGGAAGATACGACGATACTAAGCCAAAAGTTGCTGCATGGAAAATATCTCCAGCCCTTCCGGATAAACGAGAGTTCGTGTACATGCTAAAAGATATTACCGCAGAACTAATACTTGGTGAAGATGGTTTCAGAGTCAGTATACCACAGAAAGCACTATATGACAACCTCCTTAATAAGCGAGCGACTTTTAGGGTAGACTATTACGTCAAGAACGGCGTTGGGTGTGTTACAAAAATCGTTGTTGCTGTGTTCGGCTCTATTTAGTATTTTAGCGATATATTTTAAAATTGCGCTGGGTCTCTGAGTGTTGTCACATGATATTAGTCTACTATAGTGCACAGTGTAGTGTTGTACCACAGTTCATTTTGACTAGAGCGATAACGTTGCATAACACTGAACTTCGCAGCAACGCTGCGTAGTTTCGCGTATGATATCATGGAGCCTCAACGTATTACACGCAGAGTGTATGAAGGTGCCGAAACCTCCGGGCTATTTAGAATTACCGGAGTACGCTTAACTCCGTTCAAGCCCGATGAAACATTTAGGACACAGCTAGTTGACAACATCGAGCAGTATGAATCTGGTTGCAGAGTTCACCCTAGGTGCTTCGGGCATATGTGCCGCACTCCAGCAGGTCTTATACTGCCACCCCAATCAATGTCGATGCGGTCAATGGAGATTGTGACCGAGTATCATGCAGCAGCCAGACTTGCGTTCGCTAACAATCGAGAAGAGTATATTAAGAAGTTGCGTGAAACTAACTATGGAAAGCACGGAAATTTACGTGCAATAATGTCAACACCGGTAGCCGGGAGCATGAGACTAGTCGCAAGACCCCAATGGTTTGATAAAAGAGTTATAATGGTGTCGCAGAATCTTGCGTCGAAATTGAGGGTATGCAAGAAGGTATACAACAAAGATGGAATCGAGTGTAGCACATACAGAGAGACGACACTACAGGAGGGCGATTATGTCATTGTTGTTAGGCCACCATCACTTACTATTGCAAACACCCAAGCGATGAAAGTTGTCTTCTGGGATCTTGATTGTCTCGGAATTCATCCCGAGACGTTTAGTAAGTTTCATGGTGATTTTGATGGTGACGAAGCACACGCAACCCCTGTATATGACAAAGAGTCTATTGAAGAGTGTGACAACTGGCTTGTTATACCATACAGCGTGTTCGATGATGCACGCGAGCTGTTTCATTCCTTGCCAGATCATCTTAAAGGAGATAATGTGCAGTACGACGAGAACCGCGCTCCATTCATTGAATACACGACTCTAAGCATGAAGCAGATAAAGGATGGTGCACCTCGGCTCGTGTTTGGTGATATGACACGAAACAAACGCCATCACATTAATGGCACGATGGAACGATTTAATAGCAGCAGCTTTGCAGATTCTTTTGTTGCAAATTCAATCCAGGGTATAAATGACGTGGTACGGCAGCAACTATCGCAAGGTGCAATAGGTGAGATGTCTAGAGTGGCAAGAATTGCAGCGTCATGTTTTGTCAGATTAGAGAAGCCCGGGCTCTACGTGCTCGAGCGAAGACAGCGTAGGCTATTGGTAGACGATGGAGCTACTGATCCAGGATCACCGTCCGTGAGAGCAATTGCTAATTTTTGTGCAGTTGCACAGCAGGCTGCGCTCGATTCTCATAGAGCTGAGACTCATGGTCCAATATCGCACGACATGATATCTGATTTGCTGCTAGGTACCTACAAAAGAAAGACTATGTTGAGTCCGACTTCTCATTGCACAGTGGTACAAGTTGATACATCCATACCGGATTCTATCATTTCAGGCATGAAACCAAAATGGAATTACGAATCTGGTGGTCTTATCACGTTGCTATGCGAGCCAGCTGCATTCACGAGAGCTGCATGCAAATATCTAGTCGCTGCGTACAATCCTATTATACTGTTGAAAGCATCAAATGTGAACAAAGATATTAAAGGCTTGTGTCGACGAGGCATTATTCTGATATGCAACTATTATTCTATCGGGATGTCTGAAATTGAGCTAGATGATATCTCTGCAGTCGTGTCATATCGACCATCAGCGTC